TTTAGCACAGTTCCTCATGTTGTGGTGACCCCCAACCATAAAATTATTTTTGTTGCTACTTCATAACTGTAATGTTGCTATTGTTTGGCTTAGGTGACCCCTGTGAAAGGGTCGTTGGACCCCCAAAGGGGTCGCGACCCACAGGTGGAGAACAGTTAGTAAACAATAAACTTTTAACTGGTTTTAGGACCTAGAAGATGACCATGGAACGGACGTTTCTGGAATTAAGGGCACGGTGGTAGAGCTCCTGGTGAAGGGCTCTCAGCCCTGAGCACCGAACAAGTAAATGATTAGGTGTCATTTGAATAGCCATATATCTGACAAATGTATATTATAGGACTACATCTTTTTACCCAAATTTCAGTTTCTGTGTCTTTTTCGTGACTAGAATAATAGCATCCCGTATGATGAGATAGAAATAACACTGCATATGATCTGTATATATAGAAAACAGTATTGGATGCCTCCTTCTAGAAACAGTTACCTTAAAATCATTGACTATTCTGGGAATGGGATAAAACTGAAGACTATGGGAAACTATTTGGCATAGGTGTGTGATACATATAGGACACCATATAGGTATAATGAAACATCGTTGGAAAGCTTGAGCAGATCATCCTCATTTCTTTCTTCCACCTATAGCACTTAGTCACCACTAGGTGGCACTATTTCTTTTTTTCTGTTTTTATTTTGCTTTGCTATATTTTTCAGGAGGAAACAGTCCTCACAGGATGTTAGCAATAAGAATAATGTTTTTGTTCTCTGATATGTTTTTGTTTTGTTTTTTATTGTCACCCGAGGACATTTTTTCCATTTTTTGTTCAGATAGAGTAGGAGGGAGAGAGAGGAAGAGAGAAAGAACAGAGACGTGAAAGGGACACATCAAGTGGCTGCCACCTGCAGGGCCAACCAGGGCCGGGGACAAACTGCAACCGAGGTACGCGCCCTAAGCGAGAACCAAACCCAGGTCTCTCTGGACCGCAGGCTGATGCTCTAACCGCTGAGCCAAACTGGCCAGGGCTCTGGTATGTTTTAAATGATTTAATAGTCTTCATATTCTCTGGAGAAGTAAAAGCATGATTGATCTAATTCCAAATATTGAAGGAATGAAGAATGTATGAGAGTGTAGCCTACATCTCTACTATGAGAAAGTTTGAGGAATTGATATTCTCTACTGCCGATTAACACAAAATTCCGTGGATTGGTTTTTTGGTGATCATCATCTCCCCTCTTCCTCCTTGTACCGCATTTTTACTAGTGTCAGGGCAACCTCTGAACCCCATATAAGCAGCAAACTTCCAAGATCCTCCTGCCCTTCCTTTAAGGTGGTTCTTGGTTCCATCCCTCACACTCCATTACTATTGTGGAACCTAATACAGAGCTGGAATTTGTTTGTTTGTTTGTTTCCCAAATATCATTCTTTTTCTTCAATCTCTCCCTCACATGGAAATGCAATTAATATTCTCTAAATACTGCTACATCATGTCATTTTACTATCAAAACCCTTATATTCACCTTCTAATAGCATGTGAATCAAGTCTAAAGCTTTTACCTTGGCATAAAATCCTGTCAATTGTATTTGCCTGGCAAATACTACTTTCTCACGGTACCTAACATAAAAACTTCTTTCCAGTTAATTCCATTTAATGCTTTGCCAAACCGGATTGTAACTATGAAGGTGAATTTTGAGTTTGCTTGGTTGGTTGGTTGGATGAGTGCAAGTACAGTATGCTGATTAAGAGAGAGGGTTCTGGAACCAAGATGCCCGAGTTGATATTCTGGCTCTGCCATATCCTAGCTTTTTTTTCAATCCTCACCTGAGGACACTTTTGCATTTATCCTCAGATAGAGCAGGAGGGAGAGAGGGAAGAAGAGAGAGGGAGAGAAACATCCACGTGAGACAGGCACATCGAGTGGTCGCCACTCACATGACCCCAACCAGGGCCGAGGACAAACTGCAACCGAGGTACATGCCCTTAGCAGTAACCGAACCCAGGACCCTCTGGTCCTCAGGCTGACGCTACAACCACTAAGCCAAACCGGCCAGGGCTCTGCCATATCCTATCTTATAGTTTAAGATAAGCTACTTTATGTTTCAATGCTCGGTGCCCTCATTTATGAAACGGAGACAATAACAGTATCTGCCATATAGAGTTATTGTGAAGATTCAAGGAGATAAAGGCTGTGAAGCTCTTGAAACAGTGCCTGGTCCATTTTACATGCTCCATACATGTCACCCGTGACCCGCTCCTGCTTCTCTCTCCTCCAGCCACCTCACTTTACCACACAAACAATTTAGCAAAATGCCACACTCAGAAAACGTGTGTTGAATTAATCTTTTCGCTTTGCATTGACTTTGCCCCTCTTCTCTACTGAAAGCTGGGGTTTCTTTGGTGCCAAGCTGAGGGTCCATACTTCCCCCTGAAGCCTTCTTTCCTTCCTAAGCCAGCATCGTTATATGGCTCAGTTGAATTTGGGGGCTGCTTGCGCCCACCGTGACAGAGGGCATGCACAGAAGCTCTCCGGGGTGGAGTCGGAAAACACACGATGAAGAGCTGGTTCAGTCTGTTGAGATAGCTCACCTCTTTCTTACAGTAATTAATATATAAGTAGCTTTGAGAATAACAAGGACAGTGCTCAAAGTGTCATAAAAGTCTCCACAAAATAAGTTTCTAGAAAGGTATCTGTGCATATATACCCATATACATCAGAATAGAGAGCCCAGAGGTAGACACACACAAATTGCCAACTAATCTTTAGCAAGGAAGAAAAGGGAATACAATAGGGAATGGATAATCTCTTCAACAAATGGTACTTGAGCAACTGGATATCCGTATTTGAAGAAGAAGAAGGCTGAGGGGAGGGGCGATGGAGAAGAAAGGGGGGAGGAGGAGGAACTAAAGACAGACTTTATACCATATACAAAATTAACTCAAAATGAATCTTAGAACTATAAAATGCAAAACTATAAAACTGAAAAGATAACAAGAAAATCTACATGACCTTGGGTTTGGCAATGAGTTTTTAGATATAATACCTAAAGCATGATCCATAAAAGGGTTAGGCCTTATTACAATTTAAAACTGTTCTGCAAAAGGCACTATTAAGTATGGTTTGGGAAGCATTTATCTGCTACATCACTTGGATCCAAAATATACAAAGAACAAATATAAAAAAATAAATAATCCATTTTAAGATGGGCAAAAAAATATGCATAAAAGACAAAGATATATAGTGTCAAATAAGTATATGAAAAGATGTTCAGCATCATATATTATTAAGGAATTGCAAATGAAAACAACGGTGACATACTACACACCAATTAGAATGACTAAAATCCAAAAATTAACAACACAAAATGGATGCAAGGATGCAGAGCAATAGGAATACTCATTCATTGCTGGTGGAAATGCAAAATAGTATAGCCACTTCGGAAGACATGTTGGCCGCTTCCTACAAAGCTAAACACAATCTAACCACATGATCCATCACACATGCTCCTAGACTGAAAAATCATGTGCACACAAAAACCTGCATTAGAAGGTTTATAGCAGCTTTATTCATAATCACCAAAAGTTGGCAACAACCAAGATGGCTTCAATAAGTGAATAGAGAAACAAACTGTGGTACATCTATGCAATGGAATATTATTTAGTGGTAAAAAGAAATAAGCTATCAAGCCATAAAAACAAATGGAGTACCTTAAATGCTTATTGTTAAGTGAAAGAAGACAATATGAAAAAGCTACATATCATGTGATTCTAACTATATGACAACTGGAAAAGACAAAACTAGAGACAGTAAAGAACTTTCCAGGGACTGGGGAAGAGGGAGGACTAGAGGGATGAATAAGTAAAGCACAAGATAAACTATTCTGTATAATACTGTAATGGTGTTTGATGTGCATTTGTCAAAACCCATAGAACTGTATAACACAAAGAGGGAATCTTAATGTAAATTATGGATTTCAGTTCATAATAATGTGTCAGTAGTGGTTCATTAGTTGTAACAAATGTACTACACTAACGCAAGATGTTAATAATAGGAGAAATGGCAGGGATGGAGGGAGGGTATATGGACCTCTCAGTACTATATGCTCAATATTTCTGAAACTGAACCCTTATGTGAAAGACCCCAATAAGTTACTTCCCTAAAATAGACAGTTAATGAAGAACATGGGGTGAGTTACAATGGAAGGATGTCACATCTCTTTCTCTAGGAATTCTTAAAATTATAACATTTCCACATATGTCTGCAGTTTAAATATTTGGCATTTGTGTAGTAAACACTGAAAGACAGAAAGAGAGAGGTTACTTCCAACTGGATAATGCTATAATTTTCCTCCAGTGGAACTACTATTTCCTTTCCAAAATACATGAGCTCTACTTTGGAGTCAGAAATGGGAAGTTCTCATGGTTAAATTGTGAACACATTTATTTTTATTTGGGTTAGGTTTGATCCAGCTGCATTGAAGTCTATGGTTTTTGCACTTAAAAATAAAATTGCTTTGATTGTATATATTTCACCTGGCTAGCAGATGCCAGGTAGTTTCAGGCACATGAACCAAAGAGACTTAATTTTGAACCTTGGTGTAGTCATGTCAGATATCAACATTACTACTTCTTCCTTCATTGAAATGAAATAGACCCTGTCTTTACTCCCAGAGTTGTGTCCAAAAAACTCACAGAGTTGTGTCCAAAAAACTTGCAGATGTGTATAAGCATTGACTCTGCCATTCAGACATCCACATTGTCATCCAATCTACACAGTGAAGTTCAGTTATACCGATAGTTACGCCAAATTCCAAAAAATGAGAGCACACTCCGTTTTTGCCAGTCCCAGATGAATTGTTCCAGGTGCACAAAAGTATTTTAACAAGTTTTAGGAAATTTTAAGTGTTTGATTCTAAAATAAACAACTGCTGACCAAGCTCCCTCTGGATGGAGTGTGCTAAGCCAATGTTTGCTTCCTGTTGAAGGTGACGAAGTGTGTGGTGGTTCATGGAGCTCCCTTTCACCAACCTGGAAATGGCATTCATTTTATTGGCCTTTGTGATCTTTTCCTTGTTTACTGCGGCTTCCATCTACACTGACCCGGACGAAAGGAATGAAGGTAAAAAGAGAGAGCTCTTCAGGGTTCGTCTCTATTTCCTTTCCCTCCAGTCATCAGTTTGTATGGTTTGTATGGATCGAATTAGTTTGGTTTACATTCAATATGTGAGGATGGGTTTGTTTTAGGGTGTGGGGTGAGAGAGAGAGAGAGAAAATTTTTGCTTATTACATAGTCTGAGATACCTACTGGGGCACTTACTTTACCACAATTTATTTGACTTTATTTTATTTTTTAGATAGAGTGGAAGGGAAGGAGGGAGAGAAATAGAAAGAGAAACTTAGATATGAGAGAGACATATCAATTGGTTGCCTTCCACACTTTCCCAACCAAGACCAGGGATCGAACCTGCAACCCAGGTACATGCCCTTGACCAGAATCGAACCCAAGATCCTTCTGTCCAAGGGCCGATGCTCTAACCACTGACCCAAACCAGTGAGGGCTACAATTTATTAAGAAAAGTTTGGAAACAAAAGAAATTATTCACATGACTTCTAATCCCAGAATTTGGCAGATCTTACACCCTGAACCTAATTTTTATATATTTTTATATGTATGTATTTATCATATATACATAAAATATATTATTTTTTTATTTTCACAATCCTCCCATCCCAGTCCCTAATTAGAAACATAATGTGTGCCAGCAGCCCAATGTTTTGAAAAGACTTTAAAAGTAATTTTTTACAAGTTAAATGCAAATTGACAAGAAACAAATTTTTATAGTATAGATGGTGTGTGTGTGTGAGAGTGTGTGAGTGTGTGTGTGTTCATTGAACTATACGTGAGGAGGGAAAGGATTAGAAAGTTTATTTCTAATGAGTTCTTGTCAAACCTAAACACTTGAAAAATATAAAGAAGTATTTTAAAAACTCAGCACCATGTTTGCTCATTGCCAGTAATAACAATTGTTAGCAAAAGAGTGTATCATTTAAATGGTAGTTATTGGCATTTCACTGTGGTTCGGGACCTACCATGTTACATACCAAATTGATGATAACTGGCCATTTTTTAGGACAAATATTATTTAGATGTGTGTGTGTGTGTATAGTGTATGCCAAGGAAATTATACATATTTGTAGAATATGTCTACATAATTGTAGAAAATTGTAAAAAGAAAATTGTGTTTCCTACAATTGTGATACCTCTCCATCAATTTTTGGCTATAAAAGAAGTACTTTCTATGAAATAAAATTTTATTCTCTGTCTGATACTTATACAACACTTATAGAAGTAGAAAACAGAAAGCCAGAGTAAATAGACATTCCAACTCATGCTGACATGTAGATCCAGAAACATAATTGGAGTGCATAAAGTTTCTTCCTGCTCCACATTTTTTTTTAAATTTGTTTTGTTATTCCTCACCTGAGGATATTTTTTTCATTGAATTTTAGAGACAGTGGAAGGGAGGGGCCGGGGGAGAGACATATCGATTGGTTAAAAAGTACAGATGGGGCCCTGGCCAGTTTGGCTCAGCGGTTAGAGGGTCGGCCCGCAGTCTGGAGAGACCCGGGTTCGGTTCCCGCTAAGGGCACATACCTCAGTTGCAGTTTGTCCCCGGCCCTGGTTGGGTCGTGTGGGTGGCGACCACTCCATGTGTCCCTTTCACATCGATGTTTCTCTCTCTCTCTCTCTCTCTCTCCCCCTCCCACTCTATCTGAACAAAATATCAAAAAATGTCCTCAGGTGAGGATAAAAACAAAAAAACAAAAAAGTACAGATGGGTAGGTACAAAATAGTCCTGGGGATGTAAAGTACAGCATAGGGAATATAGTCAATAATACTGTAACAACTATGTATGGTGCCAGCTGGGTACTGAAAATATTGGGGGCAACACTGTAAATTATATGATTGTCTAACCACTATGCTATATACCTGAAACAAATACAAAATAACATTAAATGTAAACAGTAATTTTAAAATGCTTTTCCATTTAAAAAAAGAAACACCAAATTTCTAGTAAGTAGATAAGGAAATCCAGGCAAAGTGAAAAATTAGGGGAAGGAAAAATAAAAATGGGAGGACTTGGTGAGAAGAAGACTAGCACACCATTTCAGCAACCAGTACAAACTGGTTATTATTAAACATTCCTGCAGTCATGTCCTGCCCCTGCCGTTTGGTATCTGTGCCTTAGGGCAAATTACGCAAATTCTCAAAGCTTCTTATTTCTTCGGTTGTGTACAGAGATAATAACAGCACCTGCCTCACAGAGTTGAAGTGAGAATTACATGAAATGAAACATTTAAAATGCAGAGCGGTGGCTGTTATTGCAGTTTTCTCTTTTGGAGGATTTATAATTAGACATTTAAATAGAGCAATAAGGGTCATCATAAATAAAGGAAAATATTGACTACAGAACAAAGGAAATTTGCACTCATTTAAGTAATCTACATGTTAGGTTAATGTTTTGTTTTAAATATTCAGCAATAGAATCCATTTGATACAAATCAACTACCAGGTGGCATCACGTGTGAAAGATATAAATCTGATGTAAGGGAAGGGGAGGACTGTGGGAATTGCTCGATAAGGTCATGGACAAATAGACATTGAATAGAATTAGACCATCTATCCAATGAAGAAGAGAAGGAAACTCAGGCACTTGAAAGAACTAAGGTGGCCCCTGCGATTTGGCTCAGCTGTTAGAGCGTGGGCCGGTGGACCAAAGAGTCGCAGGTTCGTTTTCGGTCAAGGGCACAAACTTCGGTTGCGTTTTGGTCCCCAGCCCTGGTCCGGGTCATGCAGGAGGCAACCAGTCGATGTGTCTCCTTCACATGTCTCTCTCTCTCTCTCTCTCTCCCCCCCTCTCTCTTTCTCCCTCCCTCCCCTCCCACTCTGTCTGAAAATTAATAAAAAAATATCCTCGGATGAGGATTAAAAAAAAAAAAAAAGAAAGAGCCTTCCGGTCAAGATGGCGGGTAGGTAAACGCGGTATCGTGGCCTCCCACAAACACATCAAAGTTACAACTAGCCCTGGCCGGTTTGGCTCAGCGGTTAGAGCGTCGGCCTGCGGTCCCGAGAGACCCGGGTTCGGTTCCCGCTAAGGGCATGTACCTCGGTTGCAGTTTGTCCCCGGCTCTGGTCAGTCGTGTGGGTGGCAGCCACTCGATGTGTCCCTTCACGTCGATGTTTCTCTCTCTCTCTGTTCCTCTCTCCCCCTTCTACTCTACCTGAACAAAAAAATGGAAAAATGTCCTCGGGTGAGGATTAAAAAACAAAACAAACAAACAAAAAAAAGTTACAACTAAACTACAGAACAACCATCATTCAAAACCACCTGAAATCAAGCTGAATGGAAGTCCTACAACTACGGAATTAAAGAAGAAGCTTTATCGGGACTGGTAGGAGGAGCCGAGTGGGAGGGGCTGCTCCCACACCCGCATGTGGCGGATAAAAATCAGGAGGACACCTCGGCTGGGAAGGTCCTCCCTGAGGATTGAGGGGTCCCCATCGCACACCAGGTGCCCCCGCTCAGGTTTCCAGTGCCAGGAAGAGAATCCCCATAACTTCTGGCTGGAAAAACCAGCGGGAACTGAGGCTCAGGGAAGCTGAAGCGGCTGGAGCCCCAGGCAGCTCCTTAAAGGGCCCGCACACGGACTTATCAAACTTGCTCCCTCTAAGCTTGGAGGGAAGGCAGCTCGAGGGGCACCAGAGACATACAGGGAAGAACTGAGCTGTTTGGCACTGGAGCAAGGGCTGGAGAGGGGGCTTTCTCCAGGACAAACGTGCTGTCGGAGGCCTCTGTTCCTTTGGTGAGCCCTTCCCTGTGGCGGAAGACAGCCACCATATCTGGGACTCCAGCAACCTGGCTCACACTGGTACCCCTCCCTGGTGATTCCCTGAGGCCCAGCCCCACCCAACTTTCAGGCCCACCCAAGCTGTTGCAGTTGCTTAACCATAGGATTGGCCTGTCTAGGATCCTGCTTCAGGTTTTCCTAAATTCTATCAAACAAGCGGCATCTGGTCTCAGCTAGCCCCATACCTCTCATTAAGTAATACACAGAAACAAACACAGGGAGGCAGCCAAAATGAGGAGACAAAGAAACAGGTCCCAAATGAAAGAATAGAACAAAACCCCAAGAAAAGAACTAAGCGAAATGGAGATAAGCAACCTAACAGATGTTGAGTTCAAAATACTGCTTATAAAGATGTTCAATGAGCTTAGTGAGAACCTCAGTGAACTTAGTGAGGACCTCAAGAGCATAAAAAAGGACCAGTCAGAATTGATGGATGCACAGTCAGAAATGAAGGAGGCATTAACTTAAACAAAGAATAATTTACACAGATTCAATAGTAGAGTACGTAAATCCAAGAAGCAAACCATTAACTTGGAATATAAGGAAGCAAAAAACACCCAATCAGAACAGCAAAAAGAAAAAAGAATCCCCAAAAATGAGGATAGTGTAAGGAGCCCTGGGACAACTTCAAGCGTGCCAACATTCGCATCTTGGGGGTGCCAGAAAGAGAAGAGAGAGAACAAGGAATTAAAAACCTGTTTGAAACAATAATGGCAGAAAACATCCCTAATTTGGTGAAGGAAACAGACATACAAGTCCAGGAAGCACAAAGAGTCCCAAACAAGATGAACCCCAAGAGACTCACACCAAGATACATTATCATCAAAATGCAAAAGGTTCAAGACAAAGAAAATCTTAAAAGCAGCAAGAGAAAAGCAGTTAGTTACCTACAAGGGAGTTCCCATAAGACTGTCAGCTGATTTCTCAAAAGAAACTTTGCAGGCCAGAAGGGAGTGGCAAGAAATATTCAGAGTGATGAAAAGCAAGAGCCTACAACCAAGATTACTCTATCCTGCAAAGCTGTCATTTAGAATCAATGGCCATATAAAGACTTTCCCAGACAAGAAAAAGTTAAAGGAGTTCATCACCACCAAACCGTTATTATATGAAATGATGAAGGGTCTTTCTGAAGAAAAAGATAAAATATATGAACAAACAAAATGGCAATGAATACATATCTATCGACAATGGAATCTGCAAACAAAATGAACAGGCAAGCAGAAACATTCTCATAGATACAGAGAACACTTTATTGGTTGCCAGATGGGACGGGGGTTGGGGGAATGGGTGAAAAAGGTGAAGGGATTAAGAAGTACAAATTCATTGCTAGACTGACAAACCTCAAAGGGAAAGGGGTTGAGGGGTGGGAAGAAATAAACCAATGAACTTATATGCATAACCAATTGACACAGACAATAGTGTGGGTAAAGGTGGGGGCCAGGAGTGGGGAGGAGGGGGTCAATGAGGGAAAAATGTGGAACATCTGTAATACATTCAACAATAAAGATTTTTAAAAAAGAAAGAAAGAAGAAAAAGAAAAAGAAAGAAAAAAGAAAGAAGAAAGAAAGAAAGAGAGAAAGAAAAACTAAAGTGAGTATCAAAGGATCAAAGGACATTTCAGAAAATTGATAAAGTCTTTAATATTTTTTGCAAATGGCATCCTCTATAATGATGGTTCTCAACCTTCTTAATGCCACGACCTTTTAATATAGTTCCTTATGTTGTGGTGACCTCCAACCATAAAATTATTTTCGTTGCTATTTTATAACTGTAATTTTGTACTGTTGTATCTTAGGTGACCCCTGTGAAAGGGTCATTGGACCCCCAAAGGGGTTGCGACCCACAGGTTGAGAACCGCTGCTCTATAAAATTGTGCTATGAAAATCACAAATAAAGAGAAAAACATTTTATAGAGCTATAATACAAGTGTGTAAGAAAAATCAACATTGTATACATTCTTTGTTCTAAAATTAGGTTATAGTTGCAGTTACAAATTGCATCTTATCAAATAATCAATACAATTTGTTTTCATCATTTTAAGTTTTATTTGTCAAGATCAAGGTCTATTCAAACTTTTTTTTTTTTTTTTTGCTGTCTTCTGTTCAATTTTGCTCTGAAAGTAGAATCACTTTATTTATTTATTTTTTTTTTTTTTAAACATTTTTTAAATTTTTTTTCCTTTATTGATTTTACAGAGAGAGGAAGGGAGAGGGAGAGAGAGATAGAAACATTGATGAGAGAACATTGATTGGCCGCCTCCTGCATGGCCCTCACTGGGGATCAGGCCCACAACCTGGGCATGTGCCCTGACCGGGAATCGAACTGGCGACCTCTTGATGCATGGGTCGATGCTCAACCACTAAGCCACACCAGCCGGGCAGTAGAATCACTTTAAATGATCTTTTTCAGTACCAATTATTCTCAGATTAAAACGAAGTTACCTGCTACAGAGTTATATGCTTAACAGTGTTAGCCATCAATTATTATCCAAGTCTTAACCATTTGTTAAGTATAACCACTTGTAGCAAATGGGTAAGAAATTTGGTTCTATGCTTTTTTTTTTTAATCTTCACCCAAGGACATTTTTCCTTTTTTGTTCTGATAGAGTGGGAGGGAGAGACAGGAACAGAGAGAGAGAGAGAGAGAGAGAAACATCGATGTGAAAGGGACACATCGAGTGGCTGCCACCCGCACGACCAACCAGGGCCGGGGACAAACTGCAACCGAGGTACGCGCCCTTAGCGGGAACCGAACCCGGGCCTCTCGGGACCGCAGGTCGATGCTCTAACCACTGAGCCAAACTGGCCAGGGCGGTTCTATGCTTTCTTTAAAGCCAACCCAAAAGAGAAAACTGACAACGCTGAAGTTTACATGAGTTCTGGACTTCGGAACACAGCTAGATTGTTTTTGAAATGCCCCTACTCATGTGTCCTGGGAAATACATCACTACTAAGAATCACCTTTCCCCATACGACATAGATAAGGCTCACAGTCCACTCTTTCTCCTGACTTCCATAAGACTCTCGATGACTCCTTTATTTACCTGTGACAGGGACAAATACAGACCTTTCCCCTTTTGCCTGAACTTGCTGACAAGAACAGACACAGACACCCCCAAATCCTTGTTCTTTGTCTCACAAATGATTTAGCTGAGACTAGAACTGTTTGTCCTCCTGAAATTAGCTAGACGCAGATAAACTTTCCCTGCACAGATAACTGAGACTTCCCTTGATTACAAAACACTTCCAACTGTAAAGCACCCACCTGTAACTTTTCTGCTTCTCCCAGAGAGGTCTCAGGTAAGACCACTCCACTGAGACACCTTCAGGTCTGCTGTACTCTCCCCATTGTAGAAGTCTGGATATAATCAAAATGATTATCTTTTTGGGTTTTTGTCTTTCTCAAAACTCATTCTGGTTTCTGTATATGATAATCCGATATGTATAAAATAAAAACATATAGCTGCTAGTTGGAATACAACTATTTCTACTATGGAGAAAGGAAAGACATGTTCACTAGTTAAAAATCTCATTAAGGACTCTAGCTCAGTGGCTTTAAACTTTTTTTCGGCTGAAATTCACCCCCAGATCCCCACACACATACATATCCACATGTGCACAACTGAAATGGAGGCTTCATAAAATAACACCTAAGCCCCATTCCTCGCGATGTGCTTTAGTACTTCATACCCTGTTCTGTTTTTCCTTTGTAAATGCTGATGCAACCCACCTAATAGACTCCATGACATTAGTCCATTAAATTCTGATAAATTCCATTAAATTCTGATAAATTCCACCTCACCCATGTGGGTCAGTGGTTGAGTGTCAACTCATGTACCAAGAGGTCGCCAGTTTGATTTCAGGTCAGGGTACAACCCCAGGTTGTGGGCCCAATCCCCAGTGGGAGGGCGTGCTGGAGGTGGCCAATAGCTGTTCTTTCATGCTCATTGATGTTTCTATCTCTCCCTCTCCCTTCTTCTCTCTCTAAAGTTAATAAAGAAAAAAAAATTTTTATAAGAAATAAATTCTGATAAATTTCATTAAATTCTGATCATTTCTAAATTTCAAATTTAGGCAATAGCACCAAGTGTAGCTGGGAAAATCATTTTCACAAGCTACATGTCAATCTTCCAGGAAGAAACCTTCACTAATTTACCATTGCCTAGAAAATAAAGTAAAAATTCCCAAGGCTTTTGGGATTCTTCCAAGCTGGAAATTTCCACTTACCTACTAATAATGACCCCTCCTTCTCTTTTACCTGAATTGTATTCTTCAAGGCTAAGTTCATTTCCTCGCTTCTATAATCACTCTAACTCAAAATGAGCTCTTTCTGTGGAACTTTTATAGCATGTCTTTTATTTATTTATTTTTTATCCTCACCCAAAGACATTTTTTGATATTTTGTTCAGATAGAGTTGGGGGGGGGGGAGAGAGAGAGAGAGAAACATTGACATGAAAGGGACACATCAAGCGGTTGCCACCCGCATGACTCAACCAAGGCCGGGGACAAACTGCAACCGAGGTACGTGCCCTTAGCAGGAACCAAACCTGGGTCTCTCTGGACCGCAGGCCGACACTCTAACCGCTGAGCTAAACCGTCCAGTGCAGCAAATATATTTTTATTTCATGCTATTTACAAAAAGACCCTGTGCTGGCGTGGAGTGAAAATTAAAAACTAACCAACTGCCAGTCTTGCTCTTAAACTTTAGACAACCTCAACATATGAGTTCCAAATATTATTAGCATAATACATTCTTTCTCATTTATTCTATAGCTCTTCCTACTACTAATAATGGCTCACATTGTTTTATGTATATTCATCATTTAATCTTCATATTAAATGTATGCAGTAGATATTTCTACTATACTGTATCTAGAATCCCCAAAGAATATCAACTAGAATCCTGTCTATAAACAGGATTCTGTCCCATGAACTTGTAATTGAACAGAACTGCCATGATGAAGTTGGTTTGTGTGCAATGATAATATCTGAACATTTATAAACCTCCTTCTTGAAAACTCAGTGATACACAGCATAAATTACTTCAAAAAAACTCAACTCAATAGAGAGAGGCTTTTTGTACTCAATGTACATCTGGCTACCTCTTCTATGATGTTCAGGTTTGATATACCCATGAACTGAAATTATATTTTAACCTCAGTCAAAGAAAACATTACTAGGACAGGCATGCCTGCGGGACAAAGGAAGTCATGTGACACATGCCAAAGTCAAATGGCTTTACAGATTTCCATTTTCTGTATTACCCAGACCACTGCTTCCTTTTATTTCCTCGATTATGAAGAATCCTTTGCCATCCACTTGTTTCATTTTTCAGTTGAACACTGTGAAGCTGCAGTATCAGTGTAGAAGAGATTGGTATAATGCCTCCTTATGTCTTTAGAGAATAGCACATTGTGCTGCAGCGATTTCCTGAGTCATATTGTTGTCCACCTGCACACCACCCCCTGTCTTTGAAAGCTGTCTGGACTAATGACTAATAGGAAGTGATAAAATGTAAGTGACCCATCAGCGAATTATAAGGACATTCTGGGCAGGTAATGATCAAAGGTGTGTCCAGCCTCCTGACAAACAGTAGCCTTCCAACATCCCCGTGCCAGACACTGCCTTCCAGGGTGTCGTGGGAACTGCCAGGTGAACAGCCCTGGGGATTTCATCCACGACACACACAGCTTTAGAGAGAAATTTAGGCCGAGCCTGGTGCACCCCCTTCCCAATTAGGAAACATTTTAAATTAACTTTGAATTCTTTAGTTAGTTCCAAAACTTTGAGTCTGTTAAGAATTTATTTACATGTTTTAGTAGCTATTATCCAACTGTGTCAATGTGACCAAAAAACTTCATATATATAATAATTACCCACACAAAATGGTGGTGAAAATCAAAATAATATATTTAAAACAAACATTACCTATTATAAGAATTAAGTCATAACTGCTGCCTTTATTGTTTATTGTTATTTTTCATATTGTTGTTCAGACTGTTCTTTGGTCTGTGTCTATAATCTGCTATTTTGCCCTGGCCGGTTTGGCTCAGCAGTTAGAGCGTCAGCCTGCAGTCCGGAGACCCAGGTTTGGTTCGCGCTAAGGGCACGTACCTCGTACCTCAGTTGCAGTTTGTCCCCGGCCCTGGTTGGGTCGTGTGGGTGGCAACCCCTTGATGCGTCCCTTTCACGTCGATGTTTCTCCCTCTCTCTTTCCCTCCCGCTCTATCTGAACAAAAAATGAAAGGAAAAAAAATGTCCTCGGGTGAGGATAAAAAAAAAATTATAATCTGCTATTTGTAAGGCGATGTTTTGTTTGTGGCTCTGTAACCTTAACAGCCTGCTGTGGTTGGGATGACTGCCATCTCCTAGGTTGATCTGTTGGTTGTTGATCATAGAACCCTCTTTTGGTACTTCTATGTGTGCTGTTTATTCACTCCAAACAGTTATGTTAAAGTAAGTCTCACTTCTATAGTGGCTTCTGAACTAGTTCTAATTTTGGTTGCTATGGTTCTTTTGTTTTGAGTTGGTTTTCTTGGTGACACTAGGCACCAGTTGCTAGTAGAAAGTATTTGTTGAGTATCTGCTA